ATGTAGGCAGACTAGACAACAGTAGATCAATGCAACGCGAGCTTAAAGGGATCGGCAATAGGCGCTCTCTATGTGGAGTCAAGCAGACACCTACTGGCGCCTGTCCGAGTCGATCTTCAGCCGCTTAAGTTTCGGCTTTCTTTATGTTATCGCCCTTACGCTGGTCTTCACCACCCCCACCCCCTTTTTTTCGAATTGTTCTAAACCAGTCAGTGCTCTAGATCAACATTAGGCCAACTACATCCTTGCGATCCGTCACCCGCTGGCTGCGCCAGTGAAGAGACAGACGGCGAGGATGGTTTATGCCCGTCGCACCGCTCGCGGTAGCAAGTAAAATCTTTGCACCAAAGTTATTTTTGTCACTGTAGAGAAATCTAGGCATAGTTCTTCCCGCACAAGAAGAAAGGTGGATGAAACTGCACTTCGCAGCACCAATTTGGTGCAAGCTAAAAATTTGACCCAAGTTTCCGCGAGCCTATCTACTACACTAGTAGAGTCTATGGTAACTCAATGAAGAATGGGTATCAAAACTTTTGTCTCCCTCTGTTGTGTAGCAAGTCCTGGTGCTGCACCAAGTAATTAGAAATCATTAAATCTTCTCAGATTGTGCGCATAGTGAGTTGTTAGTATTGTTTCACTTTATTGCAGCTTTTATGCGGTTTCATATAGCAACAGCTGTAAATGTCGATAATTGTAGATTACGGAATATCCTACAGATTCTGATTGACTTTCTCTAGAAATCTTAATAGTAGCTAGTAAGCCTATTGCCCATTTGCTCACTTTCCAATTATGCACCACCTTGTCTGCAACCCACGCGACGCCACTGATTGCAATTCTCTGTTCGCTTGCCTACCTGAAGAACAACTTGCTAAACTACAAGGCATTCAAAACAATGCTGCCAGGCTAGTATTAAAGCTATCAAAACGCCATCATGTGACTCCCCTACTTAAAGAGCTCCATTGGCTTCCACTGAAAGCGAGAATCGAATAATAAGTTAGCCCTACAATGCTTACACACACACACACA